CGTGAAGTTATATAATGTTTTCGTAAAAATTGTTTTCGATGCAAATCCACTGAAGTTAAATGATTTGTAATATTCGAACTTTGTAAATGCTCCTGGTCTAATATCTGAAGTTTCCGGTTATTAATTGCTAATCACAATTATAACTTCCGAAGTTTATAGCACACCAACTATAGCAAACCAATAATAGATACTCTCTTTTTTGGCGATTCGCATTGGTTATATTTATAGGCGTGTGGAGAGTTTCTCGAAAATTCAGATTACATAACAAAACAAAGCTACACTAGCGTTTACGTACACACATATATTGTTGATTCTTACACTCGAGAATCTTCTACAACTTTAGAAAATAGGCGGGAGGTTCGCAATACATATTTAACACTATAAGCTATGTATGTTTCTAAATATAAACTTCATCTAAACAAACGTTGATATTAAAATAAATGCCTAATACTAAATCCGTCACAGATGCATCAACGCTTAATTTCTCGTCTTTATAGCATATAAACTTCTTAAAACTCTTCATTTTTACATTTTACAATTACATATTAACACGTCTTATCGCTAACGGTATTGTTGTCATATCAGAACTTTATCGTATAAGGAAATAAACTGTAATTTCACTGTTCAGTTAACAAGTAGAAAGTTGGCGAACAACTGGTAAAATGCATCGTTCCTGATTTGTTTACATTCTAAACACTGTAGCTGTAATTGAGGTAATTCATACCTGATTTCCTTGCCTATAAAGCAAGGTGCTATTGAGGTGCTAAGTGAAGTCTGATGAAGTGAGGACGTAACAAAGTTTTCTTTGAACAGATAACATAACACTATGATTCAGACAGGTATTTTACATTGTTCACACTATACAGCACACTAGGATTCTTACAGGTATTATACATTGTTCACACTATTATACAGCTCACTAGGATTCTTACAGGTATTATACATTGTTTAGACTATTATACACCACACTATGATTCGGACAGGTATTTTACATTGTTCACATTATACAGCACACTAGGATTCTTACAGGTATTTACATTGTTCAGACTATTATACAGCTCACTAGGATTCTGACAGGTATTTTGCATTGTTTACATTATACAGCTCACTAGGATTCTTACAGGTATTTTACATTGTTCAGACTATTATACAGCACACTATGATTCAGACAGGTATTTTACATCGTTCAGACTATTATACAGCACACTATGATTCAGAGAGGTATTTTACATTGTTCACGTTATACAGCTCACTAGGATTCTGACAGGTATTTTACGTTGTTCAGACTATTATACAGCACACTATGATTCTAACAGGTACTTTATATTGTTCAGACTATACAGCACACTAGGATGTTACTGTACATTGTTCCGACAACACAGCACACGTTAATGAGACAGGCACTACACATTGTTCAGAAAACACAGCACATTATTATTCAAACGGATACTTTACGTTATTCAGATAACGCAGCACACTTTGACGAGACAGGTACTCAGACAACCCAGCACACAAGAATTCTTCCAGGTACTTTGTTTAGAAAATACATCACGAAAATGCAATACTCTATAGGATGCCAAAAGCTACTTGGTCCACGTATATTGATTTTCTGTTAACACCATAACGTAAGCTTAGTCAGCTACTATTGACACTTATATTATTTAGACATCATGAAGAATTAAGATTCTGACAAGTACTTTTTCCAGTGTATCTACTGAGCCATAAATCGTCGCATAGCAATGTAGGTAATAGAAAAACAAGCTGTCACATGACCATTTAGTTCGTAGAACAATAAGATAGTTTGTTCCATAGTGTTGGCTTAATTATTTCCATCCTGCGTTGCCTAGAGATCAACACACACACTGCAAAGAACCAGAAAGGAAGTTTACTAATTGTTTACTCCGAGGGTAACGTATTCTTTCCTGACGTGTTCCGATTTCCGTAGGGTCAAGATGTAAACCCATATAATCTGACCTCTATGCCTGTTGATGTTATACGTCTCCAGTGTCTAAGGTTTTATTTGAAGGATTATACCATCAACAGTTGATTGTGAACTACACTTGGTGTTGAACAAACTGGCACTAAGAAGGTTATTTCTGACTTGTATTCTGAACCGTGGCACATAAAAAATAAGCCTTTCTGTTCCATTACTGGCTCTTTCACGTTTATTTATCATGTATAGGTCTTCATTATTTACAATATCCACTTACTTCACACTTAACTTAAATATTTAATACCATAGTAGCACTTACGTCTTGACATAAGAAATACATGCAAGCAACAGCAGTTGAATGATAATCGTATCCATCACCCACTGTACAAAAGTGAAGTTAAACATGTATAATAACAAACCTAGCGTTATATCACTGATGTTGACCTACAATAATTATTATATTGTCCTAGATGTAAAACAACAACAACAAAATATTTACTTAATTGCTTTTTTTTCCTTGTTGTTGAAATACAAATAAATAAGTAAAAAAATATACATGTTTGTTTATTAGTTGTTAAGGGCAAAGATATATACATATATGCGCTATTCCAGTCGCAGTGACCGATCTCCGAAATTTAGCATTATAAGCCCTTAAGTACCGGAGGGAAGTCTACAAAAACAGAAAATATTAATGTTTTAAATTATATATGTAGCGCTACCACCATCGAGTATCAAGCTATACTAACCAATTTCATTGACCTAAACATCCAAATAGTCCGTCGGGCTCGAAAATTTAACACCAAGCTCGTGCAAACTTCCCATTCCTTGTTTTTACTAAGTAGTTAAAAACGGTCGTTCCATGACTCATGTACACGAAGTAGTTAAAAACGGTCGTTCCATGACTCATGTACACGAAGTAGTTAGAAACGGTCGTTCCATGACTCATGTACACGAAGTAGTTAGAAACAGTCGTTCCATGACTCATGTACACCGTGTACATGAGTTATGGAACGACTGTTTTTAACTACTTCGTGTACATGAGTCATGGAACGACTGTTTCTAACTACTTCGTGTACATGAGTCATGGAACGACTGTTTTTAACTACTTCGTGTACATGAGTCATGGAACGACTGTTTTTAACTACTTCGTGTACATGAGTCATGGAACGACTGTTTTTAACTACTTCGTGTACATGAGTTATGGAACGACCGTTTTTAACTAGTTCGTGTACATGAGTTATGGAACGACTGTTTTTAACTACTCCGTGTACATGAGTCATGGAACGACTGTTTTTAACTACTTCGTGTACATGAATCATGGAACGACTGTTTTTAACTACTCCGTGTACATGAGTCATTGAACGACCGTTTTTAACTACTTCAAGTAGTTAAAAACAATCGTTCCATGACTCATGTACACGAAGTAGTTAAAAACAGTCGTTCCATGACTCATGTACAAATTAGATTATCAAAAAATCTCTTCAAAATGTGCCAGTACAGGAGCAGTTTTATATAAAACAAATTCCAGATTATCAAGTAGTGTTATCTGCATATCGTTTACGTTGATACTTTGCGTGTCAAGTATAACCGCCAGGGTTCGTGGCTAAAATCACTATTTGTTTGTAATTAACATTCTGATCCCCATGTCAAAACAACACCAGCAGTTATAATATATATTTGTGTCTATCAAATTAAGAGTTTCAATGATATTATAGATAACAAATTGACGTCTGACATTCTGCGACGCACGTGGACCACACAAAATGCCCAACCACAAAGTTCTGAACGAGAGCGCTTAGATTCTAGCGTCATTCAACTTACAAACCATGATCTAATATTTAACTGAATTATGGATATTTATTTCCGACCAAAGCAAGAAACCTATTTATTCAGAACAGCTGAGTATAGAGCAAGTTAGCTCCCTGTAATCCGAAGCACCAACAGGAGAATACCACTAGAGTAATTAATATTAATTTCTGATCCAAGCAAGCTATTTATTCGTTAAAAGAAAAATAAATTTTCAAGATTATTCACACACTGATAATTAAGTAGAGTATTGCTTAACCTTCACACGAGTATTGTTTATCCTTCACACACTGATAATTAAATAGAGTATTGCTTAACCTTCACACACTGATAATTAGAGTATTGTTTAACCTTCACACACTGATAATTAGAGTATTGTTTAACCTTCACACACTGATAATTAAATAGAGTATTGCTTAACCTTCACACACTGATAATTAAACAGAGTATTGCTTAACCTACATTATGGATCTTAGATACCTAAACAGTATATAAGATACGTCTATCTTACCCTGGCTACTGGCAGTAAGTTGAAATCTCAACCAAGATACTGTTAGCAGTGCGAACAACTTCCACCGTTCTCTCCCTGTCGGCGCCATCCCTACGTGTGAGCTGACTCTATACAGAAAGGTTGTCTTGATCTCAAACTGCTCTCTTGGTGTGCCAATCCTACTTGCAATCTGTGACTTCATTTCCGCTAGCTTTCTGATTGGTTATAAGTGAAGTTGAAGTACGAACAGTTCTGGCACGCGGCTACAAGCAGTGGTTTAATAACTTGTTATTGGAGGGAGACACAGCCACAGGAAACAGGTGTATGTACGAACTAGGGACTACAGGGCCAGGTGCTAAAGCTAATTCACGTTTTTGTTTTGAAAAAAGTCATAGTGCACTTTTGTAACATTCAGTTTAACCATGATGACTGTCCTATCTTTGGACGTCAAAATAAATATGCTTTCCTGAATAAAAAATATAGAATAATAGTGCAAAATACACAAAGTTTTAAAATCATTCGTGTCAATAACTATATAATGTTCTACTGTAAAACACGCAAACTGACGAAGCAATTCTTATTACAATAAGTGATTAAAAATCAGATTTTATTTCACATTTTTTATCACATTCTTCTTAATTAGCTCATTATCCATTATGGATTTTAAACAGTTCTAGCTTCAGCTTTTCTAACCGAGGGGAGTAATTAACACAAATAATGGAGCCAAATCTAAAATTATATTAATTGATAGCACTAGCTAGGGGTGGAGTCAATAAAATTTCAGAAGGCCCGGCCACATACCCCCCACCTCCCGCTAGTGCCTGCCTTGATTTCAAATCAGAAATGTGTAAAAGACAATATTTTAAATTCTTCTTTAATTTTGCTGCCACAAATAACTGCTGAGGGGTTCTTTTGTCCAATAACATTATAGCATTCAAAAGTTTATCTGAAATGCTCTTTACATGCAGCTGCTAGTCAGGGCCATATTAAAGTTGGGGCAGAAGGAGCAGTTGCACCAGGGCCCCGACCACTTGGGGGCCCCATAAAAAAATAATTAAATTTTTATGCATTGTATACACTTGTATTTATTAGAGAGATGAATGCTATTCTACTTCCCCAGGCCCCATCTGTCCTAAATCCGCCTCTTTTGCTAGCAAGGCATTTTTTTGTGAACTCAGAATACCATATATATATATATGATTCAACGCAGTAAATTATATAGTGTTTAGTTTCGTATGTAAATATGATTTAGTAAAGTTTCTATGTGGGATGTTTAATTCTGTACACGTATATTTGATTCAACACAGCAATTTCTATACAGTATGTTTAACGCTGTGTAGATTACACATGTTTTTATTGTCTTGACATTTTCACATGTTCTACAGTAATTCCTGTACGTTGAATCCGAAAATGATATACATTTTTCTCCATCATGTACAGATTTTTCACAAAACGTCATAACGCATTACATAAAA